ACCTAGTGCAACAAAAAAGGGGCGGGGCCAGGGGCTTTGAATCGCCCCCTGCAACCAAAAAATAGTGGTACAAATAGGTGGTACAAATGGTGAGTACACCCCAATACACACACGCGGCACGGGGAGAGAGAGAGGAGAGAAAAAGAAAAAGAGAGAGAGGAGGGAGAAAAGGGGGAGAGAGAGAAGAGAGGGAAGGAGAGAGGGGGAGAGAAAGAGGAGGAAAAGAGGGGAGAGAGAGAAAAGGGGGTTTGGGAGGGATTGCGTCGAATTAGTTCATGATCCAGGGGGGTGGCAGGGTTAAAAAAACAAAGTTTTCCCCACCCGGCCAAGCAGACCTGAATGCAATAGACAGAAAGCCCCATTCCAAAAATTTCAAAAAATTTTATTTAAACCAAGAATCCTTGTTCTTCGCCCAGTGGGAAAAATATTAACAAAAAATATTATACAGATTTAGGAGTTAAAAAAAAAGGAAGGGGTAGCGAATGTTAAATAAATATTATGGAAGGGAAAGGAATATGAATGTGAAATTTCAAGAATTATGTGGATTAAAGTAAAGGTTGGATGCGAGAAGGGGGCATAATAAGTGTGTATGCCCCGGGGGAAAAGGGGGAAGCAGAGGAGAGAGAGAGATTTGGGATTTTAAAGGGAAAAGAAAAGGGCCTTTAAACCCAAGGGGTGGGTTTGGTAGGGGACCTGAAGCTAAAGTAGGAGAAACTTTTAGAGGGGGTGTGGTGGTAAGTTTGGGGTGCCGGGTGTAAATTAGGGAGCCCTTTGATTGAACTTGTATGAAAGGGATAGTTATAGGTAATAATATTTATAAAAAAGAGGTAAATAAGTAAACAAGAATGATTAGGGCGAAATGACGTATTTTGTTGGATTATGTATTGGTAGATAAAAAATGTTGGTAGACCAGGGTGAAGTTATAGAGGGGGCCCCAGATTATCAGTACTTTTAGTTTATAAATGGATAAAAGGTAATGGGTACAAGGGGAATAGAAGCATCAGGAAGAGAAGGTGAAGGTTTTAAAACTAAAGGGAGGGGGTTAGGGAAAGTAAAAACAGCTATTGGAGGATAGATGGGAAGAAAGCATAGGCAATGGGGTCAAAGAGGTAGGGGGTGGGTTTTAAAAATGTGTGTTAGATTTTTCAGGAAGTTTGTGGTTACGGGAAAAATGGGTGGGGGGGGGAAGAGGGCGATTGGGGGGAATGATGAGGTAAAGGAGTATAAGGGAAAAAAAGTTAGCAATGAAATTTTTTTACAAAGTAGAAGTGATGCAAGGGGGGGAAAGATTATATGGAGAAAAGAGAGGGGTTAAGGAGGGTGGAAGAAATGTAAAAAAAGGGGCAAATGGAGGGGTGAGATGTTATCAAAAATTTTGTTGAAAATAAGAAAAATTTTTGGGTGGTTTAACATTAAAAACCCTGAGAAAAAAGTTTTGTCAGTAAAAATAGGAGGGAGAGTTTTTAAAATGGAGAGTTAGAGGTTTTGGGAAGATGGGGGGAAATTTTTTGAGGAATTTTTAAAATGATGATGAAGAAGGGAAGCTGTGATTCGGTATGGAAAAGGGAGGAAAAACATCTTGTAGGAGTGGGGAAGAGCCAATTGTGGTGGGGGGGAAGTTCGTGGGGCAGTGGGTAAAATGAAAGGGGAAGGACCGGGATTGAGGGGTTAAAAAAAAGAAGAAATTTTAAAAGCAGGGGGGGGGATATGTTTTGGGGGGTTGGTCAATTATTAATAAATGTATGGAAGAGGGTAGGTACCTGGGATGGCAGAGAGATGATAGTTCCTTTGTAAAAAGGAAAAAGGGGAAAAAAGGGGAGTGCAAAAATTATAGGGGGAAAAGTCCTGAGTAACCGGTAAAGTGTATGGTAGAGTTTTTATTGAAAGAATTTAAATAAGACGGAGAATAGGGTAGCAGATGACAAGGAGGCTTTTGAAAGGTAGGGGGGGTGTGTGGACCCGGTTTTACAGTGAAACATAAAGTTAACAATTTAGATAGGCTAAAGAGGCTTGTGGCATTTATGGATTTGGGGAAAAGGGATGAAGGGTGGTAGGGGGGCAATGTGGCAGATGTTGCAAGGGAGGTGTAGGGGTGGTTTCGAAAGCATGAAGGTTTTTACGAGGATAGTGAGGCTAGTTAGAGTTTGTAGGAAAGAGGGAAATTTTTTCCCAGAAAAATAGGCTTAACAAGGGTGTGATTTATGGTTTTTTAATATATTTTTAGATGGGGGTTTAAAGAATTAAAAGCGAGGGTTTGCAAGAGGGGGGGAGTTTAAAAAAAAAGAATCACACACAAAGTGGGAGTTGTCACAGTGCTCTTTGTGAGACACTGTGCTTTGGGAGATTCTGAAGAGAAGCTGCAGAGTTGGAGTGAATTTTGGGAGGGTGTGCAAAAGAAAAAATTAAAGGTTTAATACAGGAAAGAGTAAGGTTATGGGAAACAAAAGATTTGGGGAGAAAGAGAAAACAATTGGGGGAGGTGTAAGGAGGAGGGGGAAGTATTCAGATTTTGGGAGTGGGTGTTCAGGGATGGGTTATGAAAGATGAGGTGAATATGAATTGATGGGGGAAAAAGAGGGGGTGATTGGGGCTGTGGAGAAAAGAATTTGTCCCTTTGGAGGGGAAAGAGGGGAAAGTATGAAATGTTTTACCCAAAGTCTTTAGGGGTGTGAAGAGGGTGATGAAAGTTGCGCGAGGGAAGGTGGAGGAGGGAATGTCAGTCTGAGAGCAATGTGTGGTGGAAAATTATGCGAGATTCGAGTTTGGAAATTAGGGGGAGGTGGGGATTTCAAAACTGTTGTCCAGGGGCTGAGGAAAGGGGTTTTTTGAGTGGTTCGGACATGTGAGAGAATGGGCGAAACAGAATGATTCAAGAGGGTATCAGTCGTAGTGGGAAAGGAAGGCGGGGGTAGGGTGGCTAGGGAAAGGGTTTGGGGAAAAGGGGGAAAGGGGGTTTTGTGTGCGAGGGGCTTGGACTTCCAGCAGGTATGCGTGAGCGTGTTTGATAGGAGTGAATGGAGACAAATGGTTTTTAATACTTGACGTGCTGTTGGAGTGTGAGCAAAGTAACATTTATGAAGGGGTTCAGGGAAACCGGCAGGCCGGACTTGAGTCCTGGAGATGGGAAGTACAGTGCCTGCACTCTGAAGGAGGGGTGTTAATGTTGCAGTTTAAAAACTGTAGTGTAAAGCACCCTTCTGGCAAGACAGTGATGGAGTGAATGATGGTGAAAGTTTTTTTTTTTCGGGCCACCCTGCCTTGGTGGGAATCGGCCAGTGTGATAATAAAAAATAATAACATTTACATTAGTATGTATATAATTGAAAAGGCATGTTATCTTTCAGAAATTTAAAGTTAGCTCACTGCCGTACTTTGAATATTAAAAATGTAGAATCTTATGTTAGACAAGTTACCAGTGCTATACATGTCATACTGTTGATGCTTGTTAGGTACGTGGTCAAGCATGTGGAAGCAGACAGCTTCAGCTCTGTCTGCTTCTAGTAAGAGATGAGACAGAGGAATAAGAGAGTAACGAGCGCGATTCCGCAAGAATTGCAGTTAGGACTGCTACTGTTCCTTATAAACCGATGTGTCACTGTTTGCTGACGATGTAAAACAGTTGAGCATAATAGGAATATGTAAGAACTGTTATAAACTCCAGGGACACTTTAACTAACTGCTTGTGTGGACAAAGAAGTGGCTTCTCGAGTCACTTTAAACAAATGCTAGGTCTTGCGATTTAGAGAAGGTGAGGGTAGAACTCGGCAGAGTACAGCATGGGCGGAGAGAAGCCACAAATATGATGAGAGAGTGAAAGTGACCTGGGGTAATACAGTAAAATTTACCGCGATGAGGTGCCTTCTCTTCGAGCACAAGCAGCCCCTCGAGGGAGGTTCCTTGACGCGGGTGAGGGGCTCTTGATCTAGGGAGTTGGATCTGTGCTCCAGTTCTTTACATTGAGCCTGAATGCCTCTCATCCCCCCTCATATGCGCTGTATAATCCTACGGGTTTAGCGCTCCCTCATGATTATAGTAATAATTCAAGCACAAGCTTGTAAAGCTGTATGTGTGTGCAGCCAGACTAGTACCAGAACTGAGGTGAATTCTCTGTGAAGAAAGGTTGAAGGAACTTAACCTGATTACCTTATTATTATTACTACTACTGGTATTATTATTATTAGTAGTAGTAGTGGTAGCAGTAGTGATAGTAGTAGTAGTAGTGGTAGCAGTAGTGATAGTAGTAGTATTTTTGGTATTAGAATTATTGTGTTAATAAGGAGAGCACTTAACTCGTAGAGATATTACACAGTCAGCAGGAATGGGAAGACTGGTCGGATATCCTGGATCATGAGCCCTTCACTGGCATCAAGGCGCCTTTAATGCCAGCTCCTGGACCTTCCGGGAGTGAAACTGCAGTTCCTACTTCTCTTCTGGGAGTTTAGCTCCCCAACCTCCATCTACCCGAACCCATTCAAGTACTACATCTCTTGAATGGGTTCGGGGAGATAGGGTTGAGATTACAGTGACTGGAACGATACACAAATAACCCGCACATAGAAGAGAGGAGCTTACGACGACGTTTCGGTCCGACTTGGACTGTAAATGGTCCAAGTCGGACCGAAGCGTCGTCGTAAGCTCCTCTCTTCTATATGCGGGTTGTGTATATACCTTTCTTGGATCCCACAGCTACCGAAATGCATCTAGTTATATATGTATGCTCGTATTATCTTTTATGAATACAAATGTAATGATATATTAGCAAAATTTATGTTTTTAAGTACTAACTGAAGACTCCTTCAGTGTACCACCGCTGGGACGCACAGTCATCACTCACATTCTCTCCCCAACTGGTCACGTCTACGCTGAACTTACAGTGACCAGGACCCATGAGGACACATTCCTTGTTATTACTGGCTCGGGAGTGGAACTGCATGATCTCAGGTAATAATAGAAGTTTATTTTAGGACAACTACATAAAATGTCACAATGAAAGAAGCCATGCAAAAGAAGGGTGCTATTTGAATGTGTGTATATAAATATGTATTATGTCTGTGAATCACTTATACAAGACACTCTAAGTTTATTTTTAAAAATTCACACTTAGTTAAGCCTTAGATAGTTACAAAATTGTAACGTGTGTAATATATTCTTGGGGATGTATTTTGAAAAAAGTTATACATTCATAGGTCTCATTCACAGCCAGGCAAACAATGTGTACTTATCAAAACTTAGACATGTGAAGGGCAAATATTATTTCTTTTAACACATTGCTCTTCTCCTCATTTTAGCAAGTTTTTTCTTATACAAACCACGGGGGATGTAAATCTTCAGCTCAAGATCTTTCACAAGTTTCCGTGTGTCATAAGGAGCTTTGCGGTAAAAGGTGTACTGAGGGGAAGTTTTCTCAAAGGAAAGGTAGCGTGTTAAAGCCAGCCTGTTCCTTCTCAAGATGATGTGATTAAAGGTCTAGTCACTCAGTCACTTTAGAAGAAACAAAATCCTTCAGATCTTCACTCCCCATTTACCACCGAACCAGACAAGTAATGTGCTATACACAATAAAGGGCTCAGAGGTAATGGCAATGTATACGGAAGAAATCATGAAAGGCCAAGCAAAAGCCACATGACCAAAAGAGTTGTATGCCCTATAATGCTTGCTTAACTGATTAAACCTGATCAGTCCATTGATTTAAGGGAATCAGCACCTAGGCCCCTATTTTGTCTCTGCTTGCCAAAGAAGTGCGTTATTTACCAACTGGTCACAACTCCAGGGGCGAGCAAAAATGAGAATTATACATGACGAACATAGAGGAGCAGCAATACTAGGGTCTGTCCATGGCGACCAGTACTACGATGTGTAAAGATAATCATGTGACTTGTGTGTTTCACAAATAAATTTCATAGTTAAAGTTATCTTCATTTTTCTGAAGCATACATTCCCCATTTGTGTGTAACATTATGTATGTTGTAGTTACAATAATGTGCCGTCATTATTTTTGCATCAAAATTAAACCAACAACTTAACATAACCTTATAAAAATTTCCATAATCTAATGCAGTATACTTTAGCTAGTGTAAATAAACTTAATCTAAACTAAACTGGTTTTGCATTATATATATTTTTTCATTGCATATATTTAGATTAATTTTCTGTAGTTATAAATAAGTACGTGAACTGTGTACCTGATTATCAGAGTAATGAGAGCTAACCAGGAAAGTTGACAAATTCTGCCTGACAAAAATGTATACATTACGATATCTCTTAAATAATGTAAAATTCATGGAAAGATAATACATATCAGAAAACGTAAGTGACTACAACGATTCATCAAAAGATATGTATCTGGTAGGTGGTTGCAGGACTACGCCCGCCGTGGAAACTGGAACGTGAGCTTCGCTAACATCACCGAAGACATGGGCTGTCTCAGTGTCGCTGGTCCAAAATCCAAGGATATTCTTTCCACTCTGTCACCAGTATTCAATGGAAAATTTCCCTTCTTCTCGTGCAAGGAAGTAAGATACTGAGGTCGTCTCTCTTTACTTTTTGCAACAATGATGAAATTGTCTTTGTAAATGCAGCACTGACACTATGTTGTATAAAAAATAATCCATAACAATATCCCTGCTACTTCAGAAATGGAAATGGGGGTAAATGTGGGCATTTGGTATGCATTCAGCACTTGAGGCTCTCGACCTTGTCATGTATATTCTTTATGTCCCTTACCCTCAGGTAGTTTCTGAACATAAAACGTGCACCCAGTTCTTCAAATGTACGCCCAGATACTAAAACGAGCATCCAAGTTTCCAGGACGAGCGTCCATTTCCTAAAATGTATCCAGTTTTGAGAACCTATTACCATCGTTTACTTGAAGTAACACATGTTACAGGAGACTTTTAAAACTACATGTCTCATTCTTTCCCTCTTAATAAACAGCTGTATATAGACCTATATATTAACACCCCTCGTATAGCGTTCACATGTATAACACCCTTTATCATTCATTCATCATAATTGTTAGCTCTTTGCCTACCTTTCTCTTCCCTTCATTCTATGCAATACTCTTGTTATCTAGTAGTAAATAAACACTTAGAAGTTGGTCTTGCCTGTTTACACCCTGTTAACCTATCGTTTTCAGGACTGATATAGATTACGTATTATAAAATACTGAGTGTTTATTGTATTAACATTCACGTTTACAATTAATATTTTAATCAGGATGCTGTTTCTTAATACACCATTGTAAATAATGTGCAGTTATTTCCTGTTCTGTAATAAAGTGCTTTTGGTAGGTAACTTTGGCCGGCGTGAAGACTACTGCTTTGCGGATCTCATACACAGGAGAGCTTGGCTGGGAGCTCTACCATCCACGCTCACAAACTGCTCTCCTCTATGAAACTCTCCTGCGTCATGGCAAGCAATTTGGTGAGCAACTGGCAGTTGCAGCATGACATCTGCGATGTAGTATTTTTACGTATTTATTTTTTATCAGATGAAAATCATTGCCCAGATTACCTCGATAAAAGATCAGAATATAACAAAATAAACTGAATTCTTTGCTCACAAAACATTTAATTTACATGTCTTGTACATTGTCGCTAATTACGGGAATGTTGCGAGGTTTAAAAAGTCGGTTTCTTGAAAAAAAAATACAGCTAGTCTAATGGATTTGTTGCTAAGGTAAGATTTTATATAAAAAAAAGGAGCCACAATTTGCGTGCAATATAGCAAATATTTTTTATCAAAGTAATAGCAAATAATTTTTTTAACATCAAATTTACACCTAGTTACCTAACTAATTTTACGTTAATAGGAGCCCAACAGGAGTAATGTAACCACTCTTACATTTCCTGCTACTCTGGATTGACTCCAGGGCCTTCGACTGTAAGCCGAAAGCTCTACCGCTCAGCTTCTTTAATATATTGCAAAGGAATTTGGTTATTTTGTGCATATTTTGAAAGACTGAATGCTATTATGATCGTAGATAAACATTTGGAGAACATGAATAATTTTTCAGGCAGTTGTGAGACGTGTCTTATCTTAAATTAGATTTGTTAGGTAAATGGTATTTTATACCATTTTAATGTAAATTAGATTTGAAATATTTTTTTCTTAATAGCCTCTTAGAAATTATAGGAACACTTTAGGAATGTGGCAGTGATGGAGCTACAGGAGATATTTAACAACTATATCAAATACATGAGAACTAGCAACACGATGTAACCTAAGTAGCGGGGTCAAATTTCACGGTCAAAGTGGATATAGTAGGTATCAGGTCTAACCGAATGTGACTGCAGATCTAATTTTACACAAATGTACCAGAAAACTGTCTGAATCATTACTTCTTTGTGCCTTGTCTTACCTCAACGGGGGACAACATTTCCACAGCTGACTTTTATCAGTAAATTTATTTAACCTTATATCACACTGTCTTCGTGTGATATAAGAATATTAAATATCAGAATGCTAAATATCACAGACAACCGCTAAGCCTTGAAAACACTGAGGAGGACGAAGTAGAAGGCACAGGAACACTGCAGAGGCTGACTGCATCTTGCATGATGGGAGAGAAGTTAAACTTGCTGGTGATAGGTGGCTTTCGACGACAAGGGAGGAGCTGCACGGTGATTGGTCGATTATGGAGTTAGGTGTTTACTTCGAGTTGTGACGTTGTTTTACAATAACTTAAAGCTTACTGACAGCAGATCCATTTTCAAGACGTTTAAAACGTTGGATAGGGAGGATCATGAGACGTGTCTTCAAGTGTTTCTTACGGGGATTTCGAGAGTCATCTTGAATGGCATCTAGGAGAGTAGGAAGCGGAATGAAACCATTACAGCCGAAAGAAGGATCGGTGGTATACTTGACAGTCATGTTGGTAAGGTGCTTGTGCAATTCACATAACCGCATTTCATGACCCTGTTGAGCTGTGGTATAGAAGGTAATTCCACGCCATTTAAAATAAGAATCTGCATCGTCAGCAGGAATTGTATCAAGTCGAGAGTCATAAGATGGTGTTGTTGGCGTGGGTTTTGCCCTCTTAGCTGGCGGTGATGAAGATGGAGGTGAAGATTCTACGTCGGCTTCAATAGACGAGGAGGATGTTGCTGGTGGCAAGAAGGTTTCTGATTGGTGAGTTTCCTTGGGGAGTGATGGTAGTATAGGCGTCTCATTGGGTGTTGTTGGAGTGACGTCTCTAGTTGGTAGAGGTGGTGGAGTTACTGGAGAAGTAGAAGCAGAGGTGGCTACTAAGTCTTTCGTGAATTTGAGAATGTCGGCCGAAGGTGGAGAGGCTAGAAAGACAAACGTTGGCATGTTGTTCATGGCAAATAACTCGTTTATAGTGGTGTGAAGGAGCCAGGTACTGCCAAGTTTTGCATATGAGCATATAGTAGATAATAGTGGATCTTTGTTAGGTCACATGCTGGAGGAGTGACGGTGGTGGTGGAGGCCGGTTGAGTGGAAGCCTGGAGGAGTTATGTTGTATCTGCCTGCAATTTTGCAATCGCGACTTGGAAGATAATTTTTTCTGTGTTGCATCTTGAGTTTTCTTCATAATGTCCTTTCGAGTAGGATATTTTGCTACAAGAGTGTAGTGATCGTTGCTTTTGCAGTTCAAACAGGTTGGTGTAGATGGAGCAGAGGCAGTACAGGAACTAAAAGCGTGGCCCTCACTGCCACATGTTGTGCAGAACTTCTTGTCTTTAACTGGACAGGCCTTGGTGTTGTGCAGATACGAATAACAGTTCCAGCAGTGTTGGATGTAGTGAAACCTTTCAGCTTCGATGTAAGTGGGGCTGACGAAGTAATAGTAAACAGCAAGACCGTCAGCCAAAGCAGTAGCTGCCATGTTCACTTCAGTGAAGGTGACTGAGCATGCACGAAGCATTTGGTATTTTTGTGATGCTGTCGACAGTGGCCAATGAGTTTTGATTTTCAATAGATGTCTTGAGTTCAGAAATTGGTTGCGAGGTGAGGAGCTTATCTAGTTTTTTGAGGAATACTGATCTCCTTGCCCTAAGAGCAGGAGAGGACATGACAGTAAATCCTCGAGCAGTAAGAGTTGTGGTGACATCAGTAGTAAGTAGCTTCTCAGCTTCAGCATCATCGTGACACACGAAAATGAAGGTTTCCTTAAGGGTTAGAATAGCGTTGAATTTCACTCGCAACCCGCCCTGAATGGCGGTTGCAAGAGCAAGCTTCGATGAATCGTCAACAGTGCAACTGTCACAAAAAGCCAGATGAACCCTTGCCATTGAAATGAGTCTGACTGCTGACCCTGAGTTTAAACGTATCTGTAGAGAAAAAAATAAAAATAACCCTTACCTTCTGCACAGATAATACAATGACATACATAACAATACATACATAACATATGGAAGGTTACTATACTTCATCATATATAGATATTTCAATTATTTTCTTTTAATTCAGTTACACCATGACAGCTCTTCCCTACACTCTGACAGGTGTTGGAAACTTCGGAACTTTGGCGTTGAATGTGTTGCGTCTGGAGAAAGGTTTCAAGATGTGGGGCGCTGAGATGAACATGGACACCACCATAGTTGATGCTGGACTCATGAGCTATGTCAACATGAATAAGGTAAATTGTCCACGAATTAAAATATATATTTCAGTTTTTCGAGAGTCTAATAATATGATTTGATTTGATTTTTTTATTGAAAATTCTGTTAATTAAAACGCCCATTTAAGAGAAAAGACATAAGCTTCAGATCAGAAGTTGGTGTGCGTTATTTTGAACAGATTTGTGTTTGCTAACTACTGTACCTGCCCAGTCCTTGATCAGGCCTCTCGGTGGATCAGGGCCTGATCAACCAGGCTTTTACTGCTGGTCGCACATAGTCCAACATACGAACCACAGCCTGGTTGATCGGGCACTGACTTTAGGTATTTGTCAAGGTTCCTCTTGAAAGCAGCCAGGGGCCTATTGGTAATTCCCCTTATGCTTGGTGGGAGGCTGCTGAACAGTCTTGGGCCCCGGACACTTTCAGTGTTTTCTCTTAATGTACTAATGGCTTCCCTACTTTTCATTGGATGGGGGGGAGGGGAGGATGTTGCACCGTCTGCCAAGTCTTTTGCTTTCGTAGGGAGTGATTTCTGTGTGTAGATTTGGGAAAAGTCCCTCTTAGGATTTTCCGGGTGTAGATTATGATGCGCCTGTCTAGCCTGCACTCAACGTTGGTTTCGTTCACAGAAGAGGTGAATTGGCATCAGCATGTCCCAGTAACAATCCTGGTCTTCCTCTAAATAAGCTACATCAGCCTTGAAAGTCTGAATACAACCACTGTCGTAGGGGTTCTTAAAAAGGAGATATCGAGGGTTGAAGGTAGACACACTGGTTGGATGGTAACGATATATTGTCAGACTCTGGTAATGGGAGATGGAGCCCAGCCTCTGCTTTGTCCTAGCCTATGTCAAACGCCGACTGAGAAGGAGGCAGAGGTACGAACGTACACATGCGCATCCCGTGACGTCACACAAACAGTCACTCGGCCTAAGGGGTCTTCTATATAAACACATGGATGATACTATAATGCTCAGCTAATCTATACAACACATGTAAGGGGATTCAGCAACTATGCTGACAGCTCGGTCATGTTACGTATGTCGTCTCGACATACACTACTATCCTATAGGCTGAAGAGGCAGGTGGTTCTGGGCTGATTCTATACAATAACAAATTCATATATAACTTAGAACTAATGGATGGTATCATAATGGATGTTAACAAAATGAGTTTTACGTAATGCATTACAAACTATAAGAACAAATCATTGTACAATATGGGATGGAATTGATCGATCGATCTGTATTCATGCACTCTACGGATTCTGAGGAAGAATAAATATATATATACAAGGTGAAATTAACAGCAAAGGCATCTGGTGTGCACTCAGAACATTACTGTCAAATTCTCAGAATACGGAGGGAACGTGAATACGGAAAAAAAAAAAATCCTGAAAAACTAATCAGTTAATAACAAACAGTTGACAATTTACATCATCTCGGACATCTATTTATACAGACTATGTACATTTAAACCCAATTCTGCGAGGGTGAGGTTTACATATGCAGAATGGTTATCATCTCTGGGGGGATCGAATTCCTCTGCAATGGCTAACACATGCCTTGACTGAGGGAGAATTGAACGAGTATCTACAAAAGATACTTGTGGGTTTCTCATTACTTGTCGAGTATGCAAGGAGTAATGACATTCAGGTTGATTATCTGACTGAGTATCTGAGGTAGAGGGTACAGAGTCAAGAGGATTTTCAGCATCTGTCACATTAGTCTGGGTAGCAATATCATCAACATCGCATACTAATTTCATATGATCTAAATGCGATTCTTTGTACTTATCAGTACTAATTTCTCTAACCTTATACTTATTGCCAGAGATATGCTCTACAACTCGATAGGGTCCGACAAACTTTTGATCGAGCTTAGGCATTGCGGATGTTTTGTTGAAATTTGTCAGCATTACTCTCGAACCTACTTTTGACTTTTTGATGGCTTAGCACGGCTATTAGTTACTCTAGTAAATTCTGCTGTTGATTTATGAAGTGTTTCACGGATTCTTCTAAAAACACTTTGAGCCATGCTGGTACGAGTTGCTACGAAATCATCAGGGTTGTAATTAGGTTTCGGAGTGGAATATAACAACTCATAGGGTAAACGCTTGTCTACAACCATACAATGCATAATGTGGAGTATCACCTATGGAAGCATTGTAAGCAGAATTTATGGCACATTGGACATCTGGTATAACTTCATCCCAAGTTTCACTATTGGGGTTGATAGTGGCTCTCAGGACATCAAGTACTTTCTTATTGGTTCGTTCGGCTAACCCATTGCTGGCAGGATGATGAGGAACAATGGTGGATTTAGAGATCTTGTATAAAGTACACAAATTTTCAAGAATCTCATTACAGATTCACCTCATTATCTGTTACTAAGGACTTTGGGGTGGTATGCCTGCAGATAATGCGTTCTTTAAACGCTTTAGCTACTGTCTCAGCAGTCTTATCTGCAATAGGAACTAACTCACAATATCTGGTGAAATGGTCTACCATAACACACAGATGTTTGTTGCCTAAAAGGGAACATTTAAAATTGGTTAACAAGTCAAGGGCAACTCTTTCCCACGGTTCGCTAGTGGTTGGGTAAACTTGGATTGGATTAGGACCATTGACATTTCCTGTATGTTGCATACAAACACTACATTTCTTAACATACTCTGAAATGTCAGTTGCCATACGTGGCCAGAAGTATTTCATTCTGGCTTGTTTCACAGAACGATCCATACCAGGGTGTGCAACACCTGGTGCATCATGAACTAGCTGTAGAGCTACGTTCACTAGTGACTGTGGAATTACTAACTGGTACACTCTTCTGCTTGGAGTACCCAACTCGGCTGTTCGATACAGTAATTCTTGGCTCATTACAAAGTCACTAATGGGTGCTGGTGGCTTCACAGTAAGAATAAGATCTTCCTGGAACAGGAATCGAATCACACCAGTGTAGTGATACTGCTCCTGTGGGGAGCAGCAGCAGATAATACTGCACCACCTCTCAGGGCCCTTAACAACAACAACAGTTTGGTGTGTGTCATGGGTGCCAACGGCTGCTGAAGGAGGGTATCAGATTACATGGTGAGTTTAAATATGTGACCTGTAGTTATAACTTTTCTCTTGACATATGCAAGACATCACCATCCCTGTAGAAGCCGTTATTAGATGTACTAGTCATTATATTTTGTTGTTGCAGAAGTACTATGAAGATTCTATGTTCAATGAAGCCTAGAGATAAGGCCTGTGTTTCTATCACAACAATTTATTGAACATAGAATCCTGGGCTACCTGGTGGTGATCCTGCGCTAGACTACATCACAACATGGAGTGTTTACTGAAACCTGAGAGGCTAGATTGTGACCCCAGCTTATCAACGGCTGCTCAGGAATGGAAGCACTGGTTTAAGACTTTCGAAAACTTCTTGGGAGCCCTTCCTAAAGAAGATCTAGATAAACTAAGTATGCTCATCAATTCTGTGTCACCTAAGATATATGAGGCTATTTCTGAGTGTAATACCTACGAAGATGCTATCAAAACCCTCAAGTCTCAGTATATTAAACCTACAAATGAAATCTTTGCACGCTATCGCCTTGCAACTCGCCGCCAGCAGATTGATGAATCCTTAGAGGAATACCTTCAAGCACTGAAAATTTTAGGTAAGGACTGTCACTTCCAAGCAGTGGCAGCTGCTCAGTATTGTGAAGAGTCCATCAGGGATGCTTTTATCAGTGGCCTGCATCACCAATAATAAGGCAGCGTTTTTATTGGAGAATAAAACTCTCGACTTAGCCACTGCCTTTGACCAGGCAAGAGCTCTAGATTCAGCCCAAAAGAATTCTGAAGTATACAGTACCACTCAGCCTTCTTGAGTGGTAAGTGCTGCAATTCCTGACCAAGACTCTTGCAATGAAGTTACTGTGGAACCTGCCTCAGTGACAGCAGCAGCAGGTACGGTGTGTTTCTTTTGTGGGTTTTCAAGACATCCACGTCCAAAGTGTCCTGCTCGTGAAGCAATGTGCCGTAAATGCCACAAGAAAGGTCACTTTGCTAAAGTATGTCGTGCTAATGCATCAACAAGAGCTAGTGCCTCCACACATTCCAGTGATCATGCAACACTAGCAACAGTGACTTCTGCGGCTACTCCAAATTCACTGTCAAAGGCAGTTGTGAAAGTATTCATCAAAGGAACAGAAGTAGATGGTCTTATTGATAGTGGCAGCTCAGAGAGTTTCATCAATCTTGACTTAGTTAAACGCCACTCCTTGACTGTACATCACTCATTAGGTACCGTTTCCATGGCATCAACATCTCTCTCTATTCAGACCTTAGGGTTTTGTAAGGTAAATCTCAGAGTTAATGGAAAGGATTATCAAGATGTACATTTAACTATTCTGCCACAACTGTGCTCTGATGTTATCCTTGGTCAGGACTTTCAGAAGCTGCATGGTAGTGTCACCTTAACATATGGAGGTGAACTGCCTCCTCTTGTTGTCTGTGGACTTAGCACTTTAAGGGTAGACCCACCAAAGCTGTTTGCAAATCTTACCGCGGATTGCCATCCTATATCAGCTAAGTCACGCCGCTATTCTTATGAGGATCGGATGTTCATTGAGAAAGAAACTCAGAGGCTGCTGAAGGAGGGTATTATAGAACCGAGTAATTCCCCTTGGTGTGCACAGGTTGTTGTTGTTAAAGATGATTATAGGAAACGGAGACTGGCTATCGATTACTCTGAGACAATCAACAAATTTACACTTCTTGATGGGTACCCTCTACCTCGAATTGATGATACAGTGAACAAAATTGCTCAGTACTATGTGTTTAGCACAATTGATCTACAGAGTGCCTATCATCAAGTCCCTATAAGGAATGAAGATAAACCATACACAGCATTTCAGGCTAGTGATGGCCTGTATCAGTTTACCAGAGTCCCTTTTGGAGTTACCAATGGGGTAGCCTGCTTCCAACGAATTATGGATTCACTCATTCAGGAAGAGCAACTCATGGGAAC